CGGCAATCCTTGAATGCCTGTTTGACTAATGCCTGGAGATTCCCGGCAAAGTCTTCATCACTCTCTCCCGGATTTCGCAACGGGTAAAAAACGCAGAAAACAAAATTCTCCCTTCTAGAAGGGTGTCAATTAGACAAGAACTTCACAGCACTCTTCGATATCCGAGGAGAGCGTGATACCCGTGTCCATTGCCTCCCGACGTAGATCATAGGGCAATCGCGGAGTAGCAATGGAACTCTCCGTGCAGGCTCGTACACTTCGAGCTCCGCCTTTGTCATGAAAAGTCGCTTATTGATTTCAGCACCTTCTTTGAAGGGAGAGATGTCGACCGACGCTGCTACCAGTGTAGGAACTGCCTGCCTACCTTCCTACCCTTGAACCTCGGACATCAAGAAGGGGTTGATGGTAGATGAGTTATTTGGCATTTATTACAGGTAGAATAGAGGTTAGGAATTAGATGGGCCGAATAGATGATATCAACTGGCGAGAGACTCCTCATCGTACTCTCGCACATGATTCACGTGCCTCATTGGTTCTCACCTCTCCCACTTAGACAATCTAAGTACATATTACACCACACATACCAGCAAGATCTTTAAAAAAATTGGAAGAGACTGGTGTAATATATTCCAGCTTGTTTAAGTGGACTTTTAGAGGTGAGAGGCGGGAACCAATTGGGAACGAGGATCACGTGCCTGAAGTCGGCGGGGCGCCTCCCCTCGATTAACATCTCCTACTAACCTCATCTGTATCCCATACCCCTTCATTCCTAACAGCGATGCCTAATAAATCGTCTACAACCAACTTCCTATTAAGGTCTGAGAACCAGAGATCAGAGAGTAGACAGGCAGTAACTACAACAGGGTATCGATGTGGTTTACATGTTCCTGCTTAACTTAACTTCAGTTAATTTCTCACATCTCTCTTCCAATTTTTATGACTCTATTTTACTAACCTAAAAGTAATCAACTTATGTGCTTAAAGCTTTTAATTTAATGTTTTTTTGTTTAGTTAACATTTGTTGTTTTATATACGATAAGCATTAATCATCTCGTCTTTGTTATAATCAATGGTTTTCATGAAAAATATCACCAACTTCTGGCGGGTTATGTGTACGGAGTTGTTTCTGGGTAGGTTTGGCTCTATTTTTACTTTGATGCCTGTTTTGATTGATTTGCTTTATTTTTCGTCTTATTGTACTGATCCTCTGGCAAAGTTGTTGGGTTGCCTTGCTTGCAACCTTAGTTATGTTTTTCACGCACTATCTTCTTTAATGTGTCTCGTCTCACAACGTGTGTACACACAAGTCTCGAGCATTTTACTTTAAATACTTTTTAAATATCGATTGTTATATGTTATTCACGTTTTTCATTGGTTTTTCGCGATCTACTTGTTGCGCACCAGAATTTTAATTTTTTTGGGCGTGCTTTTCCCTTTTGTTGTTAGCTTCAGCTTCACTTTTTACTGTCCCTTCATAGAATCTGAGACGATTCATTCATAGTTATTTGGCGTTTTTTGTTGTCTATGCATCTGCGTTGCAATTTTCTTTGAGCCAATTTGGAAATATTGCTTATATTCTGTTCTTGAAATTTTTATTTCCTTTAATGTTTGGTCTTGTGTGAGGTTTTCATTGCATACACTTGGCTCCATAGAATTAATTTTTTCAAAGTCTTTTAATAGTTTTTTGCTTTGCGTCTGAAGTGGGACCACTCACGAAGGGGTGTTCTCTTTTAGGAGTACAGCATGGTGGATGAATTTTGGCTGTTTGATTTGTCGGAGCTAGAAAGGAGGTGAGTTAATATGGTTATGATTTGAGTATGTTTCAAAGGTTCCATGTGGTGTGTCAACTATGTTCGCCTTGTTTTCAAAGTTGGGTTTGGGGTTACTGTCAGTGGATTCGTCATTCTTGCACTCATTCTTAAGCTTGCAGATCAGTCTGTCGTAAATCTTACCTCACTTGCTCTGCGAGTCTGTTTGTGACCACATTTTGTGTCTGTGTTCCATGTGAGATGTAGTGTTTGTCTGCGTTTAGAATCGGTTTCAGGTTCGTGGGTCACTCACCGCTTTCCTGTGTATGTCACATGTCGGCGGTGGCGGTGGCTGTGACGGCACCTGTGATTTCTGATGACGGTGGTGGCTGTTGCTCTTGACTTTAAATTAAAACGGTCTGTGGCGCCTTCATATTGTTTACTAACGCCCGCCTGTGCCTTCCTTCGTCCGATCGCTGTCTCGTTTAAAGGTACTCAAAAACTTAGGGACTTACTAGGGGTTGGCGGAATTAGAATGGTTAGTCGGTAGCGTCACTTGAGGACTTTTTTCGCGTTGGTATCGATGAGACCTTTCCTTCAATCAGCTACACGGGTCTGTCGATGCTTGCTTTACCCTAGTCGACTGATTTGAACAATTGGATTAGTCAGTATGTAGAAATAGTTATACCGTTGTTCTTTAGGGGTATGTATATGTGGCTTTAACGTTTATCTATTTTCTCGATTTGCGGTATGAGTAGCTTCGTGATAGTTGGATGGTTTTAAGCGTGGGAGTTAACAATTCCGTCGCCCCCTCTTTGGTGGATTAGTGTTTACGGTGGACGTGGCGACATCAGTCTACACGTGTGCTCTGTATAGTCTTTCTCACTGATTCTAAATTTATTCAACTTGTCTGAATTGGTATTAGACCTACCTCCAGCTCTTACTGCCCTTATCATTTATCTTCCTTCGTCGTAGTGCGTTAAAATGGACTGCAAAACTGCAAAACTAATCGCTGTTGATGTTTGCACTAAGTCATTGACTATTACCGTTGGCTTGTCTTATCGGCTATTTGAACTGTAAGCAGGTGTCATATTAAAGGTTTCCTAACTCAGAAAACAACCTATGAAAAGTCGGAGTCACAACTGTTGAAGTTTTTTGAATATCTATATCGTTTACTTCGGTCATTGTTTTCCGTCGTAAACATACTTCTCTGTGGCCTGGCTATCACTTTGGCACTTGGATCAGCTTGTGCTGTGTGTCGCGTACTAGTTATGCATGCCTGGACGGGCAAAACTTAGTTGGACGTTTTTGCGTCTACTTTTGTTTTGTTTGTCTGAAATTCTTCCGCTTGCATCGCTATCTAAGTTGAGGTATCTGGCCTTATGTTCACAGTGTTGACCATGCCTTTGTGCCGTGCTAGTTGTCTGACTAATGCGTTCAATCTCTGGTCTGTTAATCTGTTCTGATCTGACGTTATAGCTTTGGTCACCTGCCAGTCCGTTTCAGATGGTAAGGTCTCTTTTAACTATTCCAAATCAAGTTAAACTATTGCGTGAGCTTTCAACGCATGCCTGGATTATTTGTGCCTACTGGAGCGTTAGTTGAATGCGCGCTTGATTGTCAAAAAGTTCCTGCAAATGTTACTATTAGCGCTTAGAGGTGTAATTAGTAGGTTAATCGAGCCGCCTATCAGTGCGGACGTCTCCTCCCTTCAGCTTGAAATGTGCTTACTGCTTGTTCGCATGGTCAACCATTCGAAAGCTTATTAAAATTGATGAAGAGAAAATGGGCAAAATCACAATTGAATTAGTTTTGTCACAAACTCGCTTCTTCATAAAGGGCAGTACTTTTTTCGCCCCAAATTTTGAAGTCTTTCTGTGGGATCAACTTTTCCGCACTTCTAAAATCCATTCTAGCGCGTTAGCTGTCACAGTCTTTTGTCCTTTCCTGGTATACCTTTCCCCTGGTGCTTTCACTCTTGTGACGGACAGAGGGGCTAATCCAACGAACCATGTGGTGGTGTGCAGACTAATCGTTCAACTAGCTAACTGTTGTCTGATATTTTTATGGAAATTCAGTTCGGGAATCGTTATGTTATCAAAGGTTTCTGCTTGAGTTTACTGGACTTTTTGATTTGTTGAAGCAAAGCATTAGATCGATGGCTATACAGTGTCATTGCTGGTCTTCGTCCATTCACCTTTCACCCTGTTACCAACCTTCCTCTCGTCCCATCACCAACACGCAGGTGCCATTCCGCTTTCATGCTTAAGCTTGGGTTGAACCCAGCAGCACATTAATTTCCTATGACCCGGTAGGGCCAATTTCCAGTATGATTCAAATCTATCAATAACTAGAGCTGACCCTGACCTCAGTACGAAGGAAGTAGGACCTAGCCTAAGGAAATTTGGTACTGCCTCGTAAATTGTGTTACAATTTATACCTGTTACCGAGTCGTCCATTTTTATTCCACTACCGCATTATTAACATTAAAGGTTTGAGCAAGTAGGTTATCCCGTAGCAGACTCTGCCACTGATCAGACCAGCGTTGATCTCATTTGAAAAGGCAGGCAAAGAAAATATTACCCATCCTTGGGAAATGAATGTCTTCCTCGTTCCTCCTCTTTGCAAACACCAAATATAGTCAATTTGGGGCTTGAAAATGCAACGAGAGTACAGTGAGGGACGATTTAGGTTGCACTTGACGCTGTAAATGAGTGTGGCCAGCAGGACGGACGTCCGGTGGTGGTGGTGATGATGATGTGAACAGTGTCACGTGGACCAGCGTTTGTTTGTGGCGCCAGTGAAGTGCTTTAGGCTAAAACGTCATGTCATGATTTATGCCTCAACGTTCAATCCTTTGATTTCAACGCCGAGGGAGGGAGAGTCAGAGGTGTAGGAGTACTTTGACTCCTGTATTGCCGCTTGAAATCGCTGCAACGCCATTCGTTAGACCACAGCCTACACCACCAATTTTGTAGATTGTACTGGAAGAGCATGGGCTGATGTAGATTTCTTTTTAACTCAGCCCTTTTATGCAGCGTTGGTTTTGTGAATTCAATCATCGCGATGCACTTGAATAGGCAGTAAATTAGTGGTAAACTTCATGGCTCGATTTATCCGCGTTCTCTTGTCGTAAATGGCTTCATGGGATTGACAAAGGCTGCATTGGATTGGGTTCTCATTGTTGTGAAAAGTTTAGGAGCTCCAAAGTTGTGTCTATGGTGAGGTTTCAATCACTTGCAAACAATCTCGCTGGTTACTTCTCCATCACTCACCTTTCACTACTCTGGCTGTTTTAAACACCACAATTTTGATTCTATAGCGATTCTCATACCTCCATTAAACTTTATCTGCACATTTTTTAGGGCAGCGCAATTCGAGGAAGCTCTTCGACGATTTAGTGAGTCAATTTCCGTCCGCTTAGGGAAACCCAACTCAACGTTCATCCCCATCACCTCTCCTTCTTCCTCCTCGTCACATCACATTGGTGCCGAAATCGGCAGTGGACGAGGCTGCTCCCTCAACGACCTCTCCTCCTACATTCCCTCCCTCCAACCCCTCCTCTCCAATCTAGCTGATCTGCGGAAGGAACTTGCGGTTAGCTTTAATTAGCTTTAAGTACCAACTTTTTTCCTTGTGAAGGGACAATTCCATGACTTGGCCCTGACATGGGAGCGTCGAATCCCTGAATTAAAACACATGCCTTTCGTTTGCCTTTTTGTGTCTCCAAGGTTAATATTGTTCGTGCCTTCTAATTATGAAGTAGTAATTTAGCAAATGCATCTAGGCCTTTACTGATGCTCTGCTCTGTTCAGAGTAGCGTTTCATTTTACTCTTTTTGGTTTCACTTGGCTGTGTCTTTGAACCGTCCACCAACCGTAGCGTAGGAAGCTTTATTTGACTATTCTCTCATTTCTAATCTTTTCCTCTTTTAACTCTATTTGGTGGGTTTTTGTTTCATCCCTTTTTGTTCGCCATTCCCTAAATCCCCACTATTGTGGCGCAGATTGCATTCTCGTGTGGTGGCTATATTACCCACCTATAGATTTATCAACCTTTCTGGCTTCATGGAATTATAATTTTAGCATTTTTGACCCCTAAAAGAAAAGGCCTTCTGTCGATGGTTGAGGGCTGAGGGTGGTGATGGAGAGGGGCTTCTGATGGTTTGGCATCAGTTGAGGCGGTAGTCACGTGAATCTGTATAGTGAATGTGTCAGTCATTTGCACGTATAGTAGCAGTGTAGTAGTCCTGGTGACTGCGTCAATCACCATCCCCTTTTGCTGCCGCTTTTGGATGTGCTTCCAAATATCGTCGTTCTGTCGTCGACTTCCTGAGTTGTCAACTACATTAACCAATTTTGCCGGTGAATTTGTTTGATGTTCTTTCATCTGTACGCAAGCCTTGCCAGGCTCTTTGTTTACCCGGCATAGTCATTTCCATCACCCTCTGGGGTGGCTTTGAGTGAAAGGGGCTTGTGTAATGGCCCGAAGTTGACGTCTATCAGATCCCTAACAAGACATTACTGGAGACCGCGTTGCCTCAGTAAAAATCGAGCCTCGTGAGCCCTTAAAGGGAACAAAAACTGAGACTGTGGAAGGAAAAGGTTTTTTTTCTCTCTTCGAAGGTTGGACGACCCATTCCCATCCATTACTATACGAAATCTCAAGTTTCTGGTCGAGGCTTAACCGCATCATCTAATTTCAACTACCGAGTGTCTCTGCAGAAAACGATGCGGCAGTTTTTGCGCACTTATTCAGCTTGAAAAATGGACACTAACTTGCCTTCTACTGATTGGTTGGTTAAATGAGTGTTTGCTAAGGGTCAACATTGGTGGCTGTCTGTCAAATGCAGCGTCGTCTGTGCTTATCCCGCCAAACAAGAAGTGCTGATCACTCCTCTCCCCTCCCTACCTCCCCCCTCATCCACTCCCAATCGTCCTTTTCGCACAGTTTGAGGCGTCATTGGAGCATCACAGTTTCCCCAGTGAAGTTAATCGGCCGCCAACTGCTTCCCACCTGTTTCACATTGCGAATGTACTTCTGTTAAATAGATAATAAAAATAATGAAGCCTGATTAATCTTTGTAAACAAATGATTTCACCATACTCTTCTCATTAATCGGACGGTGATGATGCGGAAAGACATTCCACAGCTTTTTTTGACCTAGTGACTGTGTTACCCAAACTTGCGACCTTTTTTTGTTTTGCAGCACCCGCCTTTTCAAGGGGTGCAGCTTCTGCGTGAATAATGACCGAAAAGTTTGTGTGTTCGTGTATTTTGTTACACTGGCTAGTTGGAACTCATTTGGTGGACTTGTAACATGCGTGCGATTGTTTACATGCGTGCATCATAGGAAGTTCTCTACATTAGGTATGCGCGTTATTCTGTTAGCACATTCCTCCTCTCTCCTCTCCGTTCTTTTTACCGCTCGCGCCCACCTTCCTTCCACTTTCAGTCCATCCACTCCGCCAACCGAGAGTGGATGTTGGGCGTAAACCTGCAGAAGATCGCTCCGAATGTGGTATAAATCGTTTATTTGAGTGAGGGACAACGTTTGGAAATGTTTTGCAGGACTGATGGAGGAATTGGCCCATTCTGAAGAGACTGTAGAAGCTGTTGAGTCAGCGAGCTTCATCCACGAAACTTGGCTGATGAATTCTGCCCATTTTACCCGAGAATAAACGACTGTATTTGCATGCCTCCATTGTAAGTAGTTTCAGCAATCACATTTTGTCCGTATAATTGGATTACAGGTGATAAAGTTGGATCTCCCTTCTCGCTTTTTTACCGCGCCCGCATTTTCATCAACCAGTTCACTTGTTTAATAATGTTGTGATTTTTTCACTTTGAGGTTGCCCTCGGGGGATGGGAGGGGCACTCGGGCGTTATGATCCGCTTTTGGATGTCAAGTTGGTCACTTGATTAGACACCTTGCTCTAGTAATGTTGTCACCTATTTTGTGAGCCTTCGAGGGCACTTCTGGTGACCTCTGTGGAAGTTCACTTACCTTGCCTTCTTGCCTCGTGTCTTCCTCCCTCTCTCTCCTTGCTCAACACTATTACCTCCCCTTTTATGTTGTAAACTTGATGCCACCGAACTTCTAACGTTTTCTCTTTCGACCAAACTACGAATGCTTTTTCTCATTTCTGTCGTATTTGATGAGTAGTTGTCAGCCTTATGCCTTAGACCAGCTTCTACCTCACGAATACGTAGCATGCGTTCCCTAACTTTCTAGGTGTCAGTTGTCATGAGTCATGCGCTGAAGGATTCCGATGAAGCTCCCCAAATGCATCCTGATGATCCGTGTCCCCTCGCCTTTCGTCAAGCCAAGCGTTTTTCACGCAATGGTTGACTGTCCTCTAAACGACATCGTCGTCGCTCTACACAACATACAGAGCCAGCATTCCTATTTACGCTCTGGAATCCTTCCTTAGACACAATTGTTGACTTCTACGACGCCTGTTCGTGTTGGTTGAAATCACTATTTGTTCAGTTTCCCTTCATATTCCTTTCTGCTTTGACAGGGCTTTCAGATGTGCTGATTGCCTTTCACTCTCCGATTTGGCCTCTGTTGATGGACTATTTTAAGAGGCTAAAACTGATAGCATATTGTCCCTGTTCACCTTATTAATCAAATTCTTTTTACGGTGGGATGGGGTAACGTATGCTCTGTGATGATTTGTTCCTTTATTTAGCCAAAAATAAGACACCTTTCCTGTCACCCACCTCACCTTCATAAATGGTACAACTGAATCTGCATGTTTGGGGCAAGAGAGCACTTTTTTTGGGTTTTTTGGATGTCCCAACTTCACCGCCTCCTTATCCTCGCTATCGTTAGGCGGACTGGTTGGCCATTTAACAACCCTGGGCTCCAGCATCAAAAGTGGTACTTATCGAGTGGTCCTTGAAATGCCACAAATTGACCTTTTTCTCGACGTTGTACCTTCCCTCCATTCAGTACGATTTATTTCCCTTCGGCCATTATGCTAAACCTATGGTGGTTTGATGGTTTTGTCCTCCCGCTCCCATGAAGGCGACCAGTGTCAGAATCGTCAAGGGACTGTGGCTTGCCAAAGGCTGACTCTTTTATGCTCCCTAATGGAATAAGCCAATTACTTCCTCGACTGAGTAGGCAATTGATGATCTCAAGAGAACTGTTGGGAGCTGCTTCCCTTCTTGCCATTTACTTCGTGGATTTTCATCCACCCTTCTGATTACTCACCTTTGTTCGACCATTTTTTACCCACTGAAATGGGATCTCTCTACGGTAGTTGCGGGTGGTGTAACAGTGGCGTCCAAATTGTAGTTTGTGACGCAAGAGGTAGGTAGGCGCATTGTGTGGAGGTAGGGAACACAACCAGGTCTGCCTCCAGCAGTCCTGCTGTATATTGCGGATGTTGGCATTGCCACGTGCCCGCATCACCCGACGATTGGCTGCTGGCACTATTGCCTATTGTGTGTGTGTGTGATCGCGCACAAGGACGCGTACGCACATGCGTGGTATTGCCATTGACGTCATAGCCATCAAGTTCTACTTGCTGCTGTTGTTATTTTTGTTTCATAGAGTCTTCATCATGATCACTATGAGCACGAATGCAGACAGAATCGACAGGCATCTCGCAATGACGCCAGTTCCGTTGCTGTTGGTAGTGGTGCTGACCCTGGTCCTGTTTCAACTCCGGTCATTCATCGTAGACTTGTGGTCCCTGGCACAGTTGCCGGCTCTACTGGTGCTGCGGCTGCCTCCTTCCTGGTGGGAGTGGAATGTGCATTGGCCTCATGTGATGTTGATTTGCCGGGGATGCGCACAGCACCACCGCCGCACCCGTCTTTGGGTACAATCAGACAATCTCGGAAGGCGTGTTGGACAGTGTGGAATGAGTATTACCACACTAGGTTTGTGAATTGAGTAGTCCTAGTCTTTGGTTAGATTGTGGCCTCAGTGAGGCTTGTTTGACCAGGAATGAATGGACGGTCAGATTTTGATGGTGGACAGGAGTGGTTTGGGGAGAGTCGTTGAAGTTTTATGCTATGGTAACAGGATCGCCTGAAAAGTGGTTGATGGATGTGGTATGGACGATAATATTGATAGTGTTGATAGGCAGATGATCAATTGGATGAATGGAGTAGGGCGTAGAACAATGGGCGATTGAATACGTAGGTGGAAGAATACTTCTGAACTGAATTCTTGACCATGAAGGCTTTGTCCGACCAACTGGACAAGTTTATTAAACCAATTAAGGGTTCGCCTCGATGAAATATAGTGTCTCTTCGATGTTGGCAGATTGGAGGATCATGTCGACAAACGGTGTATATGGGTATGTGTACACCACAAATTTGGAGTTGTATTTTTGTTTTCGTTCCTTTCATAGACACCAGCCACTGTCAGGCGAGCTGCGAAAACAACTCCGTCAACCGACTTTCAACAACTGGCCATACACAGATGCTCAGTTGCTTCGTTTTGTGCGCTACTTTTTTACGGGTGATGTGGTAGCTACTACCACCGTCCCCTTTTTTCATTGTGGTTCTGCAATGACAGAAACGGAGACGAAAGTGGACGTGCCAGGAGACTCACGATTGAGACTGGCACAACGCTGTGACATTCCGGAGGACACATTAGACGCGTGGTTGTGCGCTGTGTATGCCAAGTACAACTGCGTTTGCTTCCACAACTTCAAACACGCCTTTATGGTGGCTCAAATGGTGGGTGTTACCGCCTTTTATGTATCTGATGTGGAGTGCAGACGCCTTTGAGGTTATAATAGCTGGAGTATTGGACGATTAAAGCGAGTTGGGCCAAAATCAACTTTTTTTGTAGTTCTGTGCCGCTAGACGGGTTCAATAGATGCGTGGAAGAAAGTTTCGATACTGAGTCAGTTATGAGTGGGTCTGAGTCACCGTGGCAAGTTTGGTTCACTTTATTGTGGGCGTGGAATTGGCATGCCAAATGATGTGATGACGCAACATAACGAATGGTGGCCTGCCTAACAACGACACTCCTTGGATTCAGTAGGATCGTCGACTTGCGTACTGATGGAACGGGGAAATTAATATTGATAAGTAGACTTACAAGAAAGCCTCCATAAAAGTGGGTGGTTATTATTTCTTTGACAACAATGACTTCATTTATTGGTTTACTCTGCTGGTTGATAATGCCATACAATCTGAACCGGTCCACTTCCTGCCCTCACTTGTACTTGAGGCGAGGGTAGAAGGTGGCTTGGAAAACTCTACTTCAGAGAGGATTTTGATTGCAACGACCCAATTTCTCTTGCTAATCACGTTTTCTTTGAGAGACAGGAGTGTCTTCAAACCACATTTACTCAACAAGAGCCACTCTTCCTGCCCCTCTTTGTTTTCTCTTCTCCCTTTCTTTTTATAATGAAAAGCAGTTGAGCCGTGCTTTCGGTTTGCCAATCCCTTTTATAGAAGCACTCAACTGTAAACATAAACTGCATAATAAAAAAAATGCCAAAGGCGCCAGTTCTTCGAATTTTTTCCCTTCCAGCGTTGTGCTGTGCAAACCCAGCTCCTCTTATGTGTACTCCAAGTCCTAACATGCTAGCATCCGAGAGGACGGTTCTTGTGGATTCCTCTTCAAAAAGTAGTCGATTCAATACCTCTAAGCTGGTTGATTAAGGGATTGGTTTGCTATGGGTCCTTGTGCCTTGGCGGCAGCTCACAGTAGGGTAGTGTGCCTCTTGATCCATAGTTGATGCATCTACAGGGATGCACTAGTAAAGCACCTCATTACTATTCCTATTCTTGCGTTTTTCTGCTGTCACCTTCTCGAAATGGTTGACCTCGGATGACGTTTATCAATGACATCGACGGCTATGTGAAAACGACACCTCCGAACGCTGTGGCCGTGAATATTGCCACTGATGAGTGCAGATGTATGCATCGATTTGGTGTGCAGATCTGGCAAGCCTGTTTTGTCACCTGGACCTCTTCACTCTCCTTTTTGCTGCCATCTGTCACGATTTAGATCACCCTGGCCTAACAAATGCTTACCAGGTAAGTGCGGCAAACTGTTCAATGAGTTTGATACTTTATCTGGGTGACTCTTTGACCATATCTTGATTGGCTTTGAGTGTCGAAAGTCCAGTAAGTGGGCGGTAGTACCTACGAGTGTGCCCTTCCCTGTAAGTAGCATACACGAGTTGGATTGGCTAATCCACTACTTGAAAGTGCAATGAGGGGGTGTATTTCATTCTCCAAGGCTCACTGAGATTGATGTCTCTCGGATGATCATCATACTGCGATTGTGAATGTAAGCTTGACCAATGTAGTGACAGCTTCATTCGCCTTAGTTCTGCGGCTGTAAGAAGGGACTCATTTTATTATCAGTAGTGCCAGTCTATCAGACTCATGTGGTCATGGTTGCCAAAACACGTTCAACTGAATGAAAGGAATGCACAGTTGGCAGTTTTACTCACCGTTTTCTTCCTTCCGCATGGAAGGCGAAGGGGAGTTTTTTGGCTAGTTTCATTATGGGGCTACTGCTCGGAATTATAAGTAGCAGCGGCTGGCCATACGCTGACTCTATTCGAACTCTTAAGGCGTGTAGAGCTTAATTTTAAGTAAGTAGAATCATCATTAGAGGTGCAACTGGGAAATTCGGGTCGTATTTGTGAGGGTTTTCCCTTTGTACCAATGTTGCAACCTACACCCTTTACAAGCATGAAAACACCATATGTTTGTGCCTGCAGAACAATTCACACTCGCGCCTATCCATTTGCTACAATTCTCTTTCGCCACTGGAGAACCACCATTGCGCTGTGGCTTTTGAATTAGTTCGGACGCCGACCACCAACATCTTCGTCAACTTCACTACAAAGGAGATGGAACTTGTTCGTGAGAACACTGTGCAGTCAGTCTCCCCTTCTAGTAGCCTAACTTTACCCTCGTTTATTGATCCTCCCCCCTGTTTGGCTATTTCTTGACCACCAATCAGTGAACCAATCATATCCCGGTTGGTTTTAAAGGCACATTTGTGAATTCATCTGCTTTTCAACGTGTGTATGGGCAGAGCTAAGCATTATCTATTTTTGAAAATAAGCTATTTGTTGGTAGAAAACTTGATATCGGGAATTTTTTTCTACGCCCTCCTGTTGTGTTGACAGGTGATTGGTTTTTACTGTATCAATGAAGAAAGACGTCCCAAGACTTGCGACCAAATCCGAATGAAGCATTGAGAAGTGGCCTTAAGAACTCATCCCGTCTGATTTTAGAATCAAAGCACCCGCTTCTAACTTTGAAACGCTACCAACTTTTCAACTACATTGGCAACATTTGTTCCTTCTTATTGGTCAGGCATTCTCATACGCCTATAATGGCTTACATAGTTTAGATTTCATTTCATTGAAATGAATGTGATTGACTTAAAAAGTGTCTTGGTCTCGAACACCTTGTGAGCTGAACATTGGTCTAAGCATCCATGATTCATGCCTTAATCGCTAATTTCTGACGAGAAGCAGTTTGACAACTTTGGCTGTCGCACAATTTACGAGTTTATTTGTTAAAACCCATGCTTTTTTCTCTGCGCATGGATTGCCATTTTGAGTCAAGGTGATCGACACTGAAAGTTTTAATCATAGACCATTTCATTGCTGCAACGGTACTTTCGTTCGAAAGGGGCAGTCGTCTGAAATTACAATACTAGATTCATGGACTAAAGGTTAATTGACTAACAGGGGTAGATCTCTTAGTAGACCTTCTAACTGGTCGTCGGTACTCATTCCTACTGCTTTTCACGCAGGTGTATCTTGGGTACAGACATGGCCAAGCATACGGACATTTTGGAGGCCTTTGCAGCCAAAATGTTGGAGCACTCGATAGGAGCCGCGACGGCGGCCATTTGCGATGTGTCCGAGTCGACTTCGTCAGCGGCCATCAACGGTGTTGCGCCGACTACCGCCCAACTGGCAGACATCTTTGATGAGGACGACGAGTCTCGCGCCCTGACAATGGTGGTTCTATTAAAGATGTGTGATATCTCCACAGAGATTCGGCCCGTGGACGTTGCGCGACCCTGGCTCATGGGGTTAATCAATGAGCTAAGTAATCAGGTGAGCGAGCGATGTATCTCTTGAGAATATGCAGTTTTCCGATCTTCAAAATTGCGCAATTTCAAAGGTTGAGTTGTCTCTGGAAGATTTAGAGTCCTAAGTCCTCAATCTTTTGTCTATTTGCCATGGCACATGGGTTTTTCGATTGTGCATAGGGTCGTCTAGTCAGCGTTTCCGCAATTTTCTCAATTGTAAATCTTGGGTTTTCTCGAAGCTTGTTGCTCGTGCTCTTGAGAACACAGAGTTCTTGCATGTCTGAATTCTCTCCTATCTTTTTTGAGGTGTTGCTCAGTCAAATTTTTTTTTCAAAAATTTTATCTTCAAAGACAATGAATTAGAAAGGTCACTGCTGTTTTGCATTTGCACTAGGATCGGAATAAGATCTCATTTTTTTGTATACTAGAGCCTGGTGATGTGAATTTCCCGATTATGATGTAGGCAATCAGCCGTGACACACCCTAACCTGCATAACCCCACTTTTTAAAGCGTGATCTTGAACGGAAGTCCAACCTACCCCTGTCCCCGGTGATGGATGAGTCCAATATGGTGGACTGCCAAATCAATTTCCTCTCCTTTGCTATGCTACCTCTCGCCAAATCGCTCATCTCAATCATTCCTGCTCTCGAGGTGAGTCATTGTCCCCATCATCATTTTCCGTTATCCCTGTCTTCTTTGTGTCCGCTGTTAGTGCCTTTGTAGAGGTGGTCACGGTTGTTTCCAAACAAAAGTGAATTTTAGTGCCTCTCTTAAGTTGAGAGCGTTGTAGCTCTATTGCATTTTTCACTAATTAAAGTAAATCGTTCGTCGGACATAGTTTGGCACTGCTACTTAGCATAAACGGGTAGGGTGAAAGTCACATATGCATGGCATAGGTACAACACCACTTGTGGTTGCATCATTGCTCTTCAGTTTTGTCTTTCAAGTGAATGAGGCCACAAAAAGGTGAGAGATCGGAGGCATGGCTACAGGCTTGCATAGGCATCCCGGTCGGTCTGACCAGGTGAATTGTGCAGGAGACACCCAAGTTGATGCATTACCCACTTTTAAATGATTTGGGGTCTGTTTAAAAGGCTCCCTTTGGATAGCATTATTTATGAACTTATCTGCCTTTCTGCACAATCGTCCTCAAGTAAAATGCAATTTCCTTTACTAAATTTTTTGTTCTTTACTTTCTTTATCATTCAAAGTACAAATTCACATTTATACAGAAAACACGCTCCGCTGGCAGTTGTCCAGCTACTCGCTTGGTCTGCATGGCCCCTCCACGTTGAAGGTGAAGAGCTTTTCAAGTGGTACTAATCCTTCCTATGATTGCATAGTAGCCACATTTGCACATCCGATCCAAGATGCATCGGCTTATCGGTACAAATTGATCATACACATTCTCCAATTCTCCGTCTCACCTGCACCTTCATCCGTCTTGTGATGATTTGACTTCTTTGTGAGGATGTGGACAAGGATAGTCAGAATAGTCAAGGTATTGCAAAAAGCTTAGAGCCTATCAAAGGGTTGGGAAATGTTGAAACTCTCCCATTCCATTTGAACCACAAGCGAATTCGCCCTTCCTGCTCCTCTCTCCCATTTATGGCGACTTGATCGTGACATGTTGAATTTCACTCCAAATGGATGTGCGGTCAGGTGTGCTACCTCTTCTTCAACGCCATTGTCGCTTGTGACAGCGTGAAAAGAACTTTCAAAACCTGTGCCACGATTTAGGACTAGCTTTTAAAAGAACCGCACTAACTCTTTTACTTAATCACATCAATTTGCTGCAGCAAGACTGAAATACGTGTCAATTATTCTGTCGGAGTAGAATGTTAATTACCGTTCGATCTAGTAAAGGTGTAGAAGTGGATGCTTAATACGGCGACATTTTACAATGCAGAAGTCTCCACTCTTCTACTCCTATATCAGTGACAGCTCGAACCCACTTTTTGCCCAATTTGACCCCTCTAAGAATGAGAGCTTTGTTCTTGCACTGAGGCGCTAATCATCTGTAATGATTTGTACGTTCATGCTAGCAGTAAATACACTTGCCACCTTTTCCTCACTTCCAAGCTTGCATGCCAAGAATGATGGATATGTCTCTCATGCGCAAACGTCCTGCCTATCCACCGTACTGAATCCTGCCTATACTTCCCTTGTTTTGGTCCTGGCAAAGGAGAATTTATCTCAAATTCTCTGGTGCCTTCGACCTCAGAGGAGGGAAAGGCTCTCTTAACTCCCCTACCTAAGTTCATCTTGTAGGCGCACTTCCATAGTTTCGTTTTACTGTGCCATAGGAATCGTTGAAGATATTTTTTAAATCCAAGTAACGTAAAGATACTCATGTGTATGTTATGAGGTGCCATCTTTCCTTTCCTCCAGCCATGCTTCCTAATACCCACGGAAGATCAGCTTGCATATTACCATCGTCTGGCTACTGAGCGAGCCACTCTGCCGCCATCAGCGGAGGATATTGTGGTGGGGCAGGTCGAAGACCAGCACATTTATGATGAGAACAGCGTTGAAGACGTCCGTCTCGGCGGTGGATCCGTTGAACTTGTAAGTCTACTACTACTGTATAGTGAACAGATGAAAATGAAGATCCACAACCATGTCTAACAGCCCCCTCCCTTCTTTGGTAGGCTTAGTTTATTACTGGTGAGTTTGCTCTTCGTAGAGTAGGTTTTTGGTTGGTGGTACTAAAGAGGCCTAATGTCTTCTCCAAAGTAGTTTCTTATGTGTGCTTGATTTACAGCCCCACGCCAAGTCGACAATCGGAAGTGAAGGCGAGGAATCCAATGGGTCCTGTTCGACCTCACCACCCCTACTGATTCCCTCCACAACTACCACCGCTGCGGCACCTCATTTGCACCAACCTCTGCAACTCTCCATCTCCACTTCAAACCCGGATCGAGAACCGTTGGGGCACACGCTGCATCACAATCACAGTCACACCTGCTCCAGCAGTGGAGACGGTCAGCAGCCTAAGCGCACTTCGATTGTTTCCTCAGCTGGTCTGATTGCGGCAGAGTTGACTCCACCGCATCGACCACTGCGTCGATCACTCGGTGAATTACCGTGGTCAGCACACGCCCTCCTTCTCACACACTTTGAAGATGCGTACCATCTCGCCCCGCCACCTCCCCCGCCTCCGCCGCCCCCACCACCGCCCAGATCTAATCGGTTCATGGGAATGGGGGAGAGGACGAAATCGAACCCGTCTTCTTGACCCCTCTGTCTCTCAATCCGTTTGTGTTATTCAATTTTTTCCCCCCTTTTCCCTTCCTCTCACCCTTTCTGTGATACTCAATCATGTGAATGTGAGTTTTTGCGTATGCGACCAAGCAAGTGAGCGAGTTTGTATACAAAGCGCCTGCCAACGGAACAATCTCTTCCCCGTCTCCTACTATCGTCCTGTTGCCTGTTCCTTCTCTGCCCAACTCCCGCTTTCCTGCCACCACCACCACCCTTTGAGTCGCGAGATGCGATCGCGGTTGCGATACCAAATTTTACGCGTCTAGTGTTTGCCATTTGTGTGTGTCGGTGTTGTTGCCTTTCTCACCTTTTTAGGTTCTTGGGATGGTAGTCTCAACTGTATTCTGGACATGACGGGACGTGTAGGAGGGGACTGACAGGAATTTGACGGCGGCTGAGTTGATTGAATTTAACTAGCTGAAAAATCTGGCTCTACAGCGATCCAACAATTGTGGAGTGTTCCAAGGTATACGGAGTCATTCTGCCAATGAAAGAAACGTCGGCAGTGATAGCAGGCCATTGAAATAAGCGACTCTTAGCATGGGGTTTGTATTTTTTCGACACTGGTGTTCACTTTGAGCATATAGGATTCTTTAAGGATAAAAGACGTTTTTTTACCAGTCGTTGGCTCGTTACACACTGAAGAACTCCCGAATGCCTTTCAAAAGCAAGTGAAAGCGCTAAAGAGTTTAGGGAAGAATGTTGATGCATGAGGGAAGAAGATAGATTTGCTCAGGAGAAATCGAGGCAATTCGAACCATCCAAAAGTACCTATCTCCAATTCGTGGGAATAGTTCCAGAACTTCAGATAACCCCAAACAGATCCATAATATGTTCATTCGATACGAAAACAATTGGTCGGAGTACAAATAAGTTGAATTAGTGCTCGACGCACGTGCTTGAAGAAACGCTTTATGTCACTAGAGGTTGAGGTGGTGTTGAATGCACAGCACAGGTGCGCGTGGGCCGCAGGTAAGCAGTGGGGAACGGAGGTTTAGTGGCTATATTCCTCCCGAGCAAAACGTATTGTAGAAATATGACCATGAGTAAACTGGTTTACTAAATAAATGCAGAACTATATAGGTGATTGGAGGGCGAAAAGTAGGGGAGGTCCAGGACAACGACTATTCCTTGGAGCACTTCTGAGTTTAGCCATAACACGACAATGACTCTCGACTGTCTTGTTCAAGGAAAGTACGGAGTCTTCCTAAACTTCATCGTAATAATGATCCGCTGAACATTGACAGAGGACATTGTCACGATAAATATACATATAGCTGGGTGTATCAGCAAATGTACGTTGGCCAGAGATGTAAATAAGAGGGAAGCAATTAATCCTCCTCTTCAATTACAAATATATCATGTTCTTCTAGAAGTGCAGCACCTTTCATGCTGATGTAGCCGCCGAGTCCGATGAAGGGCAGGGCAATTCCTAATGCCTTCCATACGCCATATCGATCGGTTTTTGGTCTTGCACGCAGAGAACCGCTCATCTAATAATAAACAATATGACAAATGGATATTACATTATATGCGCCTTTAAAATCAAGCGCACTACTCGAGAAAAACCGGCAGAAGCGCAATGAACCATAAACCATCAGAATGGCTACTTGACCTTTTCGAGGTAGTTCTGAAGGTCAGCGTAGAGACAATCCCTTAAGTCAACCAATAAAAATCAAAATTCCTCTTCCATCTGCTTACGCGGTGTTAAATTTCCAGGTTTACTACCATTCTTACAATTTCGGCATAAAAAATTGCTGCTAAAAAACAGATATTTTTCTCGTAAAAGTTACGTTATATTTAATTCATTTGATGCAGAATTAACAGGTTAGCTCAATGTGAAAACGCAAAGTCAAATGACAGCCAATTAGCATAGCTGAACAAAATCACAATTTGCAAAGACATGAGCGTTCGTATCAGTGTGCAGTTCAGATGGCATATCTACCTATTGACATTCCCCTTGGTTCGTTCCTTGCATTGACCGTGTAAATTTAGTCGGTATTCCATAAACAATCAATCAACCAACACCTGATTTCACCACCGACTCTTTACATTTCCAATTTTATGTTTTTATTTTGAAATCGGTGGGGTTGCAATAATTGATGTTTCCACGAATATACCTAATTGCGACAGTACTTCGTGTTCCAATCTCTGATTCCCTATCGCCAAATCTACACAAGAATATCACAATTAGCGATCCTTCAGATATCATTCATGTACCTTAACGCTCCTCTAACAGCGTACAAGAACCGCCCGACTTCCAAAAGCAAGTGACACTTTGAACTCAATCACATGCGACAGCTGCCATTATGGTAGTCTTCGTTAAGTAACCACGAAAACCGAGATCAGATCCTCCAGATCCTGCCTGGTTTCCAAATGCACGAAAGCAGAATGAAGACCTGAAACCTCCCAATTAATACGCAAACATAAATAGCTGGCGAACGTAACCACTCATACTCTTTCAAGGTGCGAAGAGGTTCATTGTAGATGGAGACGACTCCCATCGTGATGATCCTGCCGAAACCGACCGCAGCTAAGAGGAGAATTATCACAAAAGAAATACAAAAGTTTATACAGCATGTACATTTGGCTAGGATGAGGTAGATGATGGTCTTTCTCGAGATCTTGACACATGCTTGTCCCTTTTTCGGCGATGATGACGTTCCTTATGTCGACGTCGATGCCTCTTTCTCGAACCACTATGAGGTGAGGAAGATCGCCGCCTTTTTCGTCGACGATTAACCAAACTCTTATCCTTATCCCGACTTCTCCCGCGTGAGGATCTATAGTGCGGGAAAGGAGGAATGACAACTAACCATGAAAACGTCAACCACTTTTCCCATCAGATGACCACAGGTATACTTTCTGATCCAACCAATCATATGCTCGAAAAATCATTCGTCTACCATGCACTCCTTGTCAATTAATCTAACAAGCAATTTGACTAACAGACTCAGAAGTCACACAACCCACTAGCATGTAGGCTACAAACCTTTTAGTTTCCTTCTTTCGTGACGGCAACTCAGCAATTCCACGATTCAAGGCCGCCAGTAGATCCCCCGAAGATTCGTGCGGATTAAGAAAGAGGTGCAAAAAGTTGCACCTCCTGTCGCCCTTAGGACATAAATCACGCAAGTACAGGCCTATTTTCGCAGTAACATACAATGAGTAGCTGGATCGCCACCGACGTGGGTATATCTACCCACTTACCGCAAACCGCAGCCTTCCAACCGCCTCCCAGATATGCTAATCGTGTTATGATTTGTCTTCCAGCGTACCACCGGCCATTGAGACGCGTCGCAGCCGCAATCGCCATAGCAGTGTCACCCGTAAGTTGAACATAGACGTTACCCCTAAGGTGGTCAGCAGCATTACGACAGCAACGGAGAGCGGTGATCCCACCACATGTAGATTCTAGCTCCGGACGCACGTCATCATAAAAATCTTCGTATTCAGCTTGAAGTTGAGATTCATCCACTTCTAGAGGATCATCTAGAAATCACACGATGAGAATAGTCATGGATAAGAATATGCATCAGTAAATGGAAAAGCACTCACAACGGAGAGAGAAGTTGTCAAACATGTTCTCCAAAATTAAAACAAGGCAAGGAGGATAGAAAGATGACTGAAGAACTTTAAGGTCAGCTGATTCTATCGGGGGAGTTGGGTGGAAACGGGAGCATCTGTCACCGTAGATACAAGCTCCAGTCTTCCAAAAGAAACCACAAAGTTCCGTGTTCTTTAAGGTGTGCTCATAAGGAGGAGCGAAGTGATTATCAAGGGGTGGCTCAGGGCGATGATAAGGGGGTAGATTCTCGGAAATCTACAAGGAAGAGGAATATGCAGAAACCATATATAAGATATGATTGGGAGTTCTCTTGTACCCACCTCTTCTACCCCGTCTCGAAGACGCTGCAGGAGATTGCTCTAAAATGAAATGAAAATGACATTAGAGGTCAGTGAAGGTGTGGCTTATAGACAAAAAGAGAATTCATAGATAAAAAACAAGAGGTTGCACAGTTTTCCAACATTTGTAAACATTGCATCTGACACGCAACCTTTAACAAAGAGAAAGCTATTGAGTACACGAATATGCCAACCTGGATATCCTCACTTAGCTGTGGTTCCTCTTCTGTTCCTTCCTTCGGAGTTTCTACTATCTCTTCCAAAGATTTACTTTGTCTCTTGGATTCCTCAAGCGCCTTCTTTTGCATAAAGAGTTCTTGCGCAATTCTTTCCCGCTCTAGCCACTTTTGTTCCTCTTCATCATGCCTTTAATTAAAGAGTTATAGCGAGGATATCTTAACACCTCTGCTTTTCTAATTCCTCTTCTGCACGAATTCGAGCCTCCTCCTCTTCAGTAATCTCTTGGAAAAGAAAGGACAATTTTTTTTGGAAGAATACATGTTTATGGGAACAAATGTAAACACATACCTGATTGTTCACCAGACTCCCGTAACTGAGCATATTTGCGACGAATACACTGACGTTGTAGCTTCTTCCGGAGCCTTCTCTGTTGCTTATGGCTTCAGAGGTATTATAAAATACAACTAACAACCTTAAGTGAATACAATGTGTGTTCATTTCCGTCTTCTAAAACATGACAACCTCTCCACCAGAAGGCATGCACCATAGCAGAGCTAAAGCATCCTAAGCTCAGGGTCAAACAATATCAGCATTAACTATTAATAAATTTAACAATTTCAATTATATTCATTGAATTTTTGAAATTTAAAAAAACCTAGAAAGTTCAAACTCTGCATTTGAGTTGATTTGAAAAATGGAGAACTGCTACTAGTTTAATTTTTTGCCCACGGTGTATTTATCCAAAGAATGCTCAACGTTAATGCCTGATTTATCTCAAATTTTATGCCGTATTAACTCAGAAAGCTCGTTATTACAACAGAAGCATAGGTAGTTACAAAAAGGTATTAGGTAATTCGACATTTGCAATTTTATAGCCAAATTTGACTCAACCGAAACCGGCAGTTTGAAGAAGCATAATGTAATGCTTTTTTATGAGGGTGTAATGCCTCAAACTTTGATCGGTACTTTCCTTTATGATGTATCCGAAAAGATGGCTTTACTCGTCATCTCAAGAGAGCAGGAACAAATACGAATCAAGCGATTGATCGGATCCAAAATGGGACTCAGGTAGTGTCATTCTTCTCCCCTGTATGGTGTTCTCTCTGACTCACAACTGTAGCGTCCCGAGGCTTCCAATGGGGTGGTAGAAGGCATAAGTGGGGTTGAATATATGTATTCCCAAAGCAATAGGAGAATTGGGGCCTGAGCGTGGCCCGAAGGCCAGCCCACGTGTACAGGGCCCAGACAAGTCCTAAAGTGCTCGCCAAACGTCAGATAGTCGCATAAACAAAGCATTACAACAACATCGATAAAAAAATAGACTACCAATTTTAAAAATACGTGTAGGTCTGATTTTGTAGCCGTCAAGATTGTCCAGGGACCAGGTCATGGTTCGATCCCTTCTCCTCCTCGAATACGTATATTCATTACAACACATGCTTTTTCTACCTAATGGAAAGTCTTAGTAAGCTACACATAATATTACGTAGCCTTAAAACTTCCTGGCGTACTTTTTTGCGGCAAAATTCAATCGACATGACTAAAATGCCTGTATTTAGAACACTGGAGACCGGGGACTTTTCCTGTCTCGAAGGTGGCCCAACCAGCAAAAGCACATGAATGCCAGAGTAACCGCCAGTCACAAAATTGGTCAAAAAAATAGAGCGACAGCATTAATATCCCTTGTAATGCTTTGCTTATTCGACTGTTTGGATAAGTGTCAGCTTATAGGATATCTTGCTTCTGCCGAGTAGGCTGTTCCTTTGGTCATGTAGAAATCCTGCCTTTTCCTTCCTTTTCTGAATGCAGATTTACAGAATGAGTCGATCGGAATCAGGTTCCTGCCCAGCTTTAAAACAATTACTCTACATAAGAGAACGTCTCTATGATCTGACGCTGGATCATCACAATGTCCCAAGGCTTTCCATATGTGGGGCACATACACAAAAACTCTTATTTTCTTCACTTCTCTGCAAATAAAATAAGGGAAAATATGAAAGAAAACTATCTTTTATGATTAACTGCAAGTGGCGCTTTCGCTGTTAATGGCTTTCCTGTAGAACACTGGAAAAGACGGATGCCAAAGGCAGAAGTCTTTCCCATTTTCACTTCCTTCGCACTGTTAAAGATGATCACAAATAAACTCTGGATATGAAGGAACTGTTGGAGCGTCTCAGTATTTCCTCTGAGCAAAATACATGTGTTTTTAGCTCCTGACCAGGACACAATGGCAAAATGAGTAACTTCATTTGATACCGGCAGTCGAGCAATGTGCTGCTTACACCTTAAGCGTCATTATACATTCTTCCGAGTACCCAATGGCCATGGTTAATGCCTCCTTTCGTCTTCAGGGCAATGGAAGGCTCCTTTCTTTAAATATTCCGCGCTTTACCTGAGGTGGAGGTGTCGCAAGATGGTGCGATCGCACATGCAGTTGATGCTTCACATTTTGTCATCTCCACAGTCTCGGGTATCACAAACATGGTTTCAACTTTTTTTATTAATTTACAAGGTTAATGATCGCCATAAAACCAACACCAACATCTTCATGCATACAAAACGATTAAATAAATTTAAAATGGAACATGTGTAGTGGCATCCAATTAACAAACTATAGTTAAGTCATCCTGTTAAGTGTGTTTTGAGGTGACGTCGAAGGCTTGGCGCCTGTCCAAAGGTCCTACCGCAAACTGGACACGCCATCGCCACCACTCCACACCCACTCTGTCCCCCTCCATCACTCACTGTCAGGGGTGAGTGTAGAGAGACAGGCAGCGGACGCAGACGAAGAGCTAGACGTTCAGGATTTGGCTCCACTACGGGGCTGCCGGCGGAGCGGAGGAGACTGTTGCTGATATCTTCTGCCTGGCGATCGTTGCCGCGCATTGAGGCGATCTCCTCATCACGCAGGTACTCCTCAGCACCCCTTTCCACTGTCACCACTGCTTCCGACCCCGATCCTGATGCTGGTGTTCTCGTAGATGAGAGAATTGTAGTGCGCTGCCGCTTAAGACTTACTCGATGCACTCGCTCCATGTGACGCTCGCGATTGGATTTGGTAGAGAAAGATTTAGTACAGCGCGTACAGGAGAAGGGCTTGTGGGCTGGAGGAAGTAGTGATGATTTTTCTTGGATTAAAAGGGAATTCAAGCTCTTGCATCAGTCATCTCTCCATCAGAGTTTGTATAAATAAGAAAACAACAGTATCAAATATAAAAGTCTCTAAAGAGACTCACGAGTGTGTGTAAGAATATGACGCTTCAGCGAACTGTTCCATGGAAACTTCTGATTGCATCCATCCACCGGACAGGTAATTAGTTTGGGCGCGTCTTTGTAGGAGTTCTTTTTCCGATTCATCACATGTTGAATCACAATTTTCGGCAAAGCTGGCTGCACTGGCAATGAAGGTGGCGGTGGTTGCAACGATGGTGAAATCAGAGGATACGTTGCAAGAGCCGTTGTTTTCATCATCAGAAATTGAAGAAGTGAAGAGATCCCATCAAGTCCAATTGTTGGAGCTGAAATTATTTCCGATGGCGTAGGAGGTGCTGCTGGTGGTGATAATGGGGGAGGCGGAGGGAGGGGAGGAGGAGGAGGAGGATGCGATGGTGGAGCTTGAGGTGGTAAAGGTAGTTCGTGCTTTATTGACAAGTCCAGAGCCTCCTCCGCTGAAGTATTCAAGCTTTTCTCTCGCAACAGTCTACTCGCGTACAATAAAATCAGTTATTTGCAATCATTGTACTAATTTAGCTCCTTCCGTGAAAGACTTCACCTTATGTGCCTTAAGAAGCGCCGGCGGCGTTTGATGAGAAGATCACGCAAATCCATTTGCGGCCGCCACCATGTTTTGCTCACATCTAAAGGACACGCAGAAAATTTAATTACTTAAAAGCCTTTGGTTCCACTCATTTCGTGCGTGAGCTCTTTGATGCCTACCATTGTTTTGCACACTTCTAACAACAACTTCAGTGGACTTTACATTCGCATACTGATGACGTCGAAGTTGAGATTGATTCGAGGCAATTTACCACAAGCATGCGACCAGTGTCTACTTCACAAGGTGCTGACAAATTTATAAGCTAACAAGTAGCAAACAACCGCAAAATTACCTAAGGAAAATAGTTCTGGATGTGGATTTAAGTCATCGGATTGGGTGGCAAGTCGTTTCACATGGCTCAAAACTATAACATGGTTTAAGCATGGCAACTATAAAACAACATCCACAATCCGCTCTGAATCATTTATCCACCATTATATCTAAGGTCCATAGAGGTTTTGCATTCCTTACCTCTAATCATCACACTCAACTATTTAAGCAACTCCTTAATTCTTAAAAGGGTATCATAATCGTGAGACTCACCCATAAACGCTTTATTCTTCCTTTTTATTGCATGTAACATCGCTCTGAAGCAAGGAATAGGCCTTCGAATCTGATAGATCAAAAGTAAAGTTACATAAAAAATCTGCAGTACTGAAAAACACCCCTAATTTTTAGTGGTTTGCATTATTTCACTGCTATTACCTTTCCAAGGATATTTTGAATTGCATGTGGGTTATTACTTATGCTCCCATTATAAGCGGTGGATGTGCATTCCGTCGATGATGCAGAGTTGCTTAATTGATGAGAAGTCCGCCTATGTCGGCTCAAATTTCCATTAGTGGTAAATGCCTTGTCACACAGGCTGCATGCAAACGGTCTGTGATCTGCCCAAAAAAATTCAAACCATAACTTCTACTTATACTTAATAAATAGAAATAATATTTTTCGTAAAATAGAGCGAACTTGTGTGGGTTAAGAGATGCCGTTCAAGGGAGCTGTTCGAGCTCAACTCGCTGGCACAGAAGCAACACACATGCTTGCCGTCCTCTCGACGTTGATTATTTTGGTGCTGCTGCAAATGAGTGGTGAGTTCAGCTCTTGTCGTGATGTCGGCAGTGGCACAAAGGGGACAGTTAAATAATTCGACACCATCTTTGCATGCGTAGGGATGGAGCTAGAAAGTTAAATACAGAGGACAGATTTATCGATTTATTTGTAGTATAAATATCCAAGGTAAAAATAAACATCCAAAGACCTTGACATCCTCTCGATTCTTCTTTTTTAAATCCCAGATTTCCGGTTCCTCTACGGAAGTTAAATTAGGTGTTGTAATCCTCTCTTTGATAAAAGTTGAAGCTAGTTGTTGGTGCAAAATGTTAGAAATCAGATGATCGGATAGCCGAACCAAATCAAAAGATGTAGGCTCCGGCGGCGGTAATGGCTGCAGTGGTGGTGGTGGTGGTGGTGGTAGAGAAAAGTTATTTGAGAAGAAACCATCCAAATATGTGATAGGCGGCTTTGAATTGATTACGGGCTAGTAATCATAAAAAGGGTGAAAATAGCCTTGTGAGCATAGGTTATAATGAGAAGAAAATAAAAGCCTACAAATGTTATAAGTTGAGAGGACAGAAGCTTGTGATTTGACACTGAATTTTATATTCTACGGCCATGTCAACGTACTTAAATGATGTAAGAGATTCTTTATCTAAGTAGTAGCATCAGGAACATCACCTTGGTATTGAGAGTAGCCAATAAAATTGAGGAATAGTCTTACAGCCTATTGTACATTTTGCCAATTGTAAAATCTTGTGATCTAGGAAAGCCTTGAATAATCTGTGTGGACAATGGAATTAAGGAGCTTGGTAAACTCTTCATTTAGGGGCAAACCGACTTTTTGGCTTCCTTATTAAAGCCAACATGCTCAAAAGGTGTTGTGTATCTTCCCTCATCTATTGGTGACGGACTTTGCTAAATTATCTTTCTGGTAATAAAAATTTCACAAGGATGAATTTTGCTTATTTTGAAGGAAATCTGAAAAGTCAGCACAGTGAGGCTTTGATACAGAGAAACCTAAATTTATGAATTTAAGGGCTTCTTTATATAACCACATTGTGATATTAAAATGCTGCGACTCACGCTGATCGGTGGCGAGTGAAGCAGGGGGAGATTGGTGTTGGGCGCGTCGGGAACATTCAAAAACCGAGACTCTACAAAATGCGTTCCTGCAAGGAGGTAAGAAGGCATTTCTTCAATTGAATGGTGTGTTACGATGAATGGACCAAGAAACGCTGGTCTAGGCTTATTAGGCGGAATATCTTCCAATCAAAAGTCTGCTTGGTGCTAATTGGTTCGTGTGAGCATTAATGCTCAACACCGCACTGAAATGCGATTGGCTTATGGACACGGAGCATGAACAGAGGTGATTAGAAGGGCTCTAAGACTATCAGGAGAAATCTGGAAACATTAGTTGATTTTTCGATGGACCAAGTCCCTTCTTCCCAATTTTATTCTGTAGCTTAAATGAACGCTAATGTGTTTATAAGATCAATTGCGTAAAGAGATTTTTGGTTACTTATGGTGAGATTATTTAGCTTGAATGGACTTTTTTATCAATAGTTAAGTTATATAATATATTAGTCCATTGAAAACTACTCAAACTGATTACAGACTCTAGAAATTAGGCAGAGGAACCATCCTCTTAATGAGGTTGGATGAGCAACTTAGATTAATAAAGTAAAAACATGGAGAACGGATGCGTACTTCTATGCCTAAATAAAAACACGTACTGCTTCATCGTAAGAGTTCTCTTCCTCGTGTATGCAGTTATCTTCTGAAAGTTAAGGATCAGGCATGCATTAGTTCCATTACCTGGATATCAGTCCATGCTCCTCCTTCTCCACCTCAACAAAGATGGGCCTCCCCTTATCTTGAATATCGCAGTACAACACAAAGCGAAACCATACGCCGCTAAAACTTAGTCTTTGATGAACCTTTCGTGATTGTTTGTTAAGTAATGGAACGGTTTTGCTACCTCATTCATTGTCTCCCTGTAGCAGTGATGCCAAAGAAGCCTTTGTTGTGGAGGAGGCCTTGTATTATTTCGAAAACACATCTTCACAATTATTAGATGGTCAACCTCTTGCATTATCACACCATCCGCACATAACTTGTCATTCGGGAGGCAAGTTGATACTTTAGTATCAGATCTTAATGTTTTAGTAGAGAACGTAGCTTAAGATTTTTTATATTACGGGGTAAATTAGGAGGAGTAACATGGCACAGTTCTCTTATTGGCACGCAAATAGCACACGGGTTGTCTTCTTCCGTCTCTCTTCTCCCCCTTTCCCACACCTACCCCCACCTAAACTGGATGTGAAAAATTGGTGGGAAGTTTCTAAAGTTGGTCACGCAACTATACTTATGTTGCGCCTTCATATTGTGTCTAAACGGGGGTGGCGAGTAGGGCTAATATCTTCTGTGCCTTATCGCTCCCTTCTCTCCGCCGCCTGGTGGCTCTCTGTCTTGTCGCACCGCTATAAACGGCGGCGGCGGCCTATGACGACACGCAAAACACCTGCGTTTGAGAAGTACACTCGATGCACACGCAATGCATGCAGGTGCGACACGAAAACTCATTCATCAACTTAACTTTTATTAGCCCAACTCCACGACCACCCCCACCCTCGGTGCTGTGTGGTTTGGTCTTTTAAGTACTCCCCTCCTCCTCTCTCCTTCTCCCTCCCCACATTTGCATGCGTATGCTTGAGAAGGCAAGTGATTGCTTCAGAAAGGTGAATGATAGAATTTCTCACTATTTTAAAGCCTCCCTTGTTTCCGTTTTATAATTATTCCGAATAATCACTTTTAAAAAAGAAACTTAAATACTCCTTTAAATAGTGATTTTTTGCAAAATTTTTAAGACTAAACTTGGGATTTTTCCAAAAAATATTTAATGGAATCTTATAGCTACGTCGGACCATGCAGTTCAATAAACCATACTGATTTATCCTTTTTTCCCCTACAAACAAGCCAACAGCCCACATGGCGGTAAGATGAGGCTGGAAGGTTGAAAATTGACTTCCCCGTTGGAACATGGTTAGTGATGTTGACGTTATTTTGCCACTTTAACTTTGATTTTTTTTGGTTGTTTATTTAAGCATTGCAATTGCACCTTTCTTCTTAGGCTTCAGGACATCCCTTTCGTGTTCGAGAGGTAAGGTGTCAAAATCTGCTCAGCGATGGAAAAAAGGATCAAATAATAGTGTACCAAAAAACATCTCTATTAGGTGTAATCAATTATTAAATGTCTAACAATTTGTTTAAAAATGAGCAAAGAATATGGAGGAAAATTATATCCATAACGTAAAAAGTGTGACATGGTATGACGAGAGCCGTCTCGAAGTTAACAAGTTCGGTGGATAACTTGGCATGGCAGCCTCATTGATTTTACCATAAGAGTGACCCCAAAATTGTTGTCAATAGCTAAATACATTGCATCAAGTGGCTTCGTTTTTCTGTCTATTGATATTCATGATAGCCATCATAATTGCCATGCCTGACTATTGATTTGCTAACTGAAACGCCATGAGAGTAAAGACTGGTGGCGTGTTTAGGAGGTGACAAGAGCCTCAACCCAAATCAAAGTAGGATATTAGTTGACGGGATGAAGAAGGGAGACTTAGAGGGCAGACGGACTGTTGAAAGGGATAAGTGATCTCGGCCCATCTGTGCGGTGCTTGGTTCGGAACCTGGGGCCGCCCCTTATCAGATGGGCCTAGGGGTGAGCTGTTGGTGTGTGTGTGTGTGTGTGTGTGTGATAGCACCAAAAAAGGGATCCTATCAGCCCCTCAAGACCACATGAGGCCATGGCAACAAACGCGAGGATTATAATGGCATATGGGCGCTGGTGGACACGCCCTTCCTCTGCCCTGATTGGTTCACTCTTATCGATTTGCCACTTACCTCTTGGGGCAAAAGTATCAAACCCAAAAGGCAGATTTTGACTTTGGGGAAGCGGGACGAGTTGAAAATGAGCACATAGAGAGGGATAAAGAAAAGAGGAATGGGAGTAGAGTTGCACAATGTCCAAAATTGAGCCTGAAACGTGTGGGTCCCACACCTCTCCCTCCCTTTCTTCCCCTGAAAACCGTGATATTTTCCCAGAATGTAAATCCCTAGGTGAACGGACGGACAAGTGGTGTGAGTTGATGACTGGCTAACTGGGTCATCGTTAGAGTGGACTACTCAGCTCGCGTAAATGCGAAAGAGATAACAACCGATGTAAATGACCAATCTATCCCTATCTTACAGAGATATGTCGAGTAGCCAATTACTATTCATTTTCTCTCGGAATATCTATTTTAAATATTTTTTATATCATTTACCATCTTAGCCGTTTGTTACAAATTGGCTTTATACAGATATTAATCGATATTTTGGTCAGGAGTTGCTGGTGAAGGTTGGAGGGGAATTTTTGGAGTAGGGGGACGAAGAGAAAGATAATGACCTACCAAAGTGGAAGACATCCATCCAAATAGTGGTGTCGCTGCTTCTGGCGCGGCTGCTGCTGCTGCTGCTGCGCAGATAGGCGTATATGTCAAGGAGTAATCTACATTCCCCCATTAGTGGCGTACTTGCACATGAGAAATTAACATAATCCCCGTCGTCAAGGCTTCTGGTCTGTGTGATCATCGCCCTCTTATTATCTCTCTCTCTCTCTCTCCATATTCCACGTTTACAAACTTTTTGGCCATCTTAGCCCATTTTCCTTTCCCACCTAATTTGCAGTGACCACTTGGGCTAGTGCTAAGCCCTAGTGTCGAAATCGATCAATTTATCGATTAGTGCTAAGGGTGAGAGTTGTCGCGGTGCCAAGATTAATGCACATAGGCAAAAAATAAGTAAGAGTTGAATACACTAGTGGTGAATTTGAAAATCTGCGATAAAATTGATAATTTCATAGCCCATTAGAACAAAAACCATTTAACAGCTCTTAAATATAGCAATAAAGGGATTCAAAGCATTGTGATGGATTGCTCGACGGTTCAAGGAAAGAAGGTAGAAAAAAGGCCTCAGGAATAAAAAAGTATCTGAGACGTACCTTTCGTGGGTCGAATCTGTTTTCTACGATGGGTGTCTGGGTTGAATGCCATTGGAAACAAAAACGAGGCAGAGCGAGACTTAATGATCGGAAACCTCAACTGAGTAATTGTGTGCCACGCGTACTTAAGCCTGCGTGCTTTGGGCGTAGCCCCTGGGCGGTGCAGGGGAGAAGAGAGAAGAGGAGTAAAAGGAGAAGGAAACGAAGAAGGCAGCAAGAGGGGACAGTCGATAGTGTGTAGCACGAATCTCACCACCAGCACCTGCTCAAGCGGATTTTGTGCGTGTGCGTGTTTGCGGCGTGGTAAGAGGAGTCAAACACACAGGCAGGGCGTGTCCACTAACTATCAAGCTATCTTTCCCAATTAAAAGGATTGTCCGATCGAGAAGTGCCATAAAATGCAATAAAATACAGCCATTGATGGATGGTTTTCAATGTTTGGACACATTGTAAGAGGCATTCTTACGAATGTGCCTGTTAAAATGATAGCGGCATAAACACTGGCAACACTTTAAGCATTTGAACTGGCTACGTAGCTTAACAACACAAGCGGTAAGCGAAAAAATCAAAACTAAACACTTAAAATAGTTTATTATCTAACCTTAGCAACCTGCTCAACAAACACTGTGTTTGTGAAAGAAATTGATTAGTTTTAAATAAAAAGTGTTTTGATGCTCCATCCAAAGATCATGGCACCAGGGACTAGTAAAGGGAACGTCGATTTAGGAATACTAAAGGATAGGCAAAAAATAGGAACAGCAGTGAGAAAATGCAACGACCTTGACGCTTGGTAAAATACGCCTACTTATTTTTGTCAGTGCAAATTATTTTATCTTTTTAGTATTGAGTCATGGAGTTAAAACAAATCTTTCCGGTAAGCAGAATATGCATATCATGACCACTTGTCATTCAGTCTTTTGCCTTGAGGACGTTAATTTTCATGTCTACTGTTAGCTTTTACGCTTCAGCGAGGTGAAGGAATTGCGTATCACCATTCCAGTTCTTTCTGTATATAATCCCAATGAAGCCACTGCAACTTACGCTTTCTTAAAGTACGACAGGCCCTACAATGCAGTTATTCAACAATCAGAATTATTTGCTTCTAGATTACCCTGTGCTAATAGCAATAACAGTGAGGTAAAGCGAAGTTGTCAAACACCGCTACTTCTCTAGTGGTTACAATTAACGTTTGTGATTGTGGTCGTAATGCCTTGTTCATGTAATTATTTGGTGCTTAACGGTGGCTTTATTAATCACTTTGTAGCGTTCCGAGACTTCTTAGCCCGTATAAGAAGTCAGTAAGTGCAGCTGCATACATGTATTCCGAAGGCGACAGGGCAAATGGACCTGGGCATGGCCCGAAGGCCAGCCCACGTGTACAAGGGCCAGACAGATCCTAAAGTGACCGCCAGCTGTCAGGTAATCATATAAACAAAGTAGTGCACCTGCCTTCTTGAGCGTGGGCTAACCTTAGGCCCAAGCCTAATCCCAATCAATAAATAGCCCCTAGAATACGGGTATTCGGTCCAAATTAAGACCTTCGCAAACCTAACGAGAAGGCTCAGTACGCCACAATAATATCCACTGTCGTTTATGTAATGCTTTGTTTATGTGACCGCATGACGTTTGGCGGCCACTTTACGATTTGTCTGGTCCTTGTACACGTGGGCTGACCTTCAGACCATGCTCAGGTCCATTTGTACTTTTGTCTTCGGAATACGGGTATTCAACCCCACATATGCCTTCTTCCGCCCTATGAGAAACCTAATGGCGCTACAGTTTGCATTAAAGTTCTGGCACACTAAAGTTATGTGTGCAAAGTTAAAAACTACATTATTTAAAAGTAAGCTGGAAGTAACAGATGACAAGTGCGTTGGTTCAAAGGCAATGCACAACAATACCAATACATAAGCTATGAAATTGAAACGAGTGGAATGCTTTGTTTATGCGACTATCTGACGTTTGGTGGTCACTTTAGGACTTGTCTGGGCCCTGTACACGTGGGCTGGCCTTCGGGTCGCGCTCAGGCCCCATTTCTTCTATTGCTTTCGGAATACATGTATTCAACCGCGCTTATGCTTTTACGTACGGTATTAGCAGATGGGACACATCGGATATGACAACAGAAATCCAATGCCTGTAGAGCTCTACGATAAAATATGTTTAACTTTCAACAAATCAAAATACGAAAATCAGGAATTGTTTTGAGTACAAGGTCACTTATTACAGCCCAAAATGCATTTGTTTGAATCAGCCACTAAAAGGGCCACATGCTGCGAAGTGATCCGGGCAGTGCGTGAGTGGTTTAGTGTGGTGTGCTGTTTCTGTCAGCAATTATTGGAACTGGGTATGGCCATGGTGTCCGAAATATCGCCTCTTTGTCCTCATTTATATTTGTGTCTCTGCCCTTTCTAACGCTTTGATTTTGTTCGCATCCCCTTAGTTTTGCGTTTAGAATCACGCTTTTCTTTGGGTAGTTGAAATTGGGACGATTACTTGGGTAATAATTTTCCATGCCTTTTTTTTAGATTCCAAAGAAATTTCTGCCTACGTTGGTAGCCGTTTTTATGGATAACCAGTCATTCTAAGAGCATAGAATTTATATTATGGGCATAATGGAAGTAGGTGCCTTTCTTCACCACTTGTTTATTGTCCAAATCCAATCCCTTTTGTCTATTTTTTTTTGCTTTGAGTTGTTGGTTATTCTTTATCAATGTGTTGAAACCCGTAGCACATGTATTTCAAAAGGCAAGTCTGTTTTAAATGCTTGATCTCTTGGTAACGTGTGTCCATTTTAGACCCATGGATCTAGCACCTCTACTGATTGCAGCTTCCAGTTCTGATCCTCAGGCAGTGCAATTAGCAAGTGCTCAGCTTGAGGGTTTGTTCACCTCTGACCCTCTTTTCATCTGTCATCTTGCTGACATCGTTCTCTCGCCCTCTAACTCACTTCCAGCTGCGGCTGAAATTTTTGGGCTTGTCCATCTGAAAAACCTTGTTGCCATCTCTTCTCATTGGGCTCATTTTGATCGAGCTCAACAGGAATTTCTAATTTCTTCTCTCCTCAAACATATTTATCGAAACCCCACTCCAAGTCTGTTCGTCTCAGAAATTCTTGGCTGTGTTTTTCGTCACGAATGGAGTCGTGGCACCTGGCCCGAAGAAATTTGGAACGCTATAATTGAGTCGGGTGCCTGGACACCACTTCGACGTTGCGTACAGCGTGCGGCCGCTTTGAGGCTCACATTTCGTCGACGGGTTCTCGCTTCGCATATCTACACTATCCTCCCACGTCTTATCAGTCTTTGGATAGAAACTGATTCCCCAGAACTTCTACACACTGTATACACTTGTATCACTGTGCTGGATGTCTCGATAGCCAGCGACATGATGTCTATCCATGCTGAGATGGTTGGATGCCTAATTACTCATGCGCTATCGCGACTACTGTCTCCCAAATGTAATAATCCAAAGCGTCTGGCAAAATTACTCCACGCGGTTTTATTACTTATCCCATCAGAATTACGCAGCTCTTGTGCTGTAGTCACACTGGAAGCGATCTTATCAGTAGTTGAGGATGATTTGTCTAATCGGAACACGATACTCTGGTGTCTAGCTCTCATCTTTAACATCATCTCTGCGACATTTTGTGATAGTTTACCAAACGACCAACTTTCAAAATTTCCGTCAATCACATCTGAAGCGAGATCACAAGTTCTTTCTTGGTTGTCTTCCCCTAACAACAAAACCCCTCATTACACTAACGTAGTGTGCCTTCTCTTGAGTCTCATGCGCTCATGGATGCCACTTCTTCTTTCCGAAATAGAGGCACTTTCCTCAGATCCAGAGTCTGCTTATTCTAGCGGTGGCGCTCACTGTGTCAGCAATGGGGGGGATTCCTCGGTTTTCTTTGCCGTGGCATTTTGGAATCTGGAATCTGTTTCTGATGTTGCTGAATTTGTCCCAGTGAAGTCTGAGATACCCCCTAACTTGCGTCAGCTAGCTGAGTCCACTTTCCGTCTACTTTCAAAGCATCTAAATGAACAACTTGAAGCTATCCTGCCTCCGGCAATCGAGGAGCTTATGAACGGCGAAGGCAAAGCGAAAGAAGTAGGACTGCGATGCGCCCAATTTTTGCTCGAAGTTGTCCCAGAGAAGTGGTGTGGACGGGTGGATACCCTTCTGCGAATCACTGCGATGCTGCCTGTGGAACCGCTAGTGGTTGGTCGTCGAATGGCTCTGCTGGTTCGGCGCGCACTTATTACCTCAGAGTGAGTGCCTGCAGAATCGTTGTTGAACGAAAATTTTCATTCCTGCTCAGTGATTTGCCAAGTGGATAGGTTGGTTTTACTCGTCAGTCAATACTGATGTTTGTCAACGATCGACACTTCTGTTTAGCTTCGAAACAAAGGAAACAATAGTCGGAGCATAAAGACAATGAAGTATGGCGTATGTGCAGGTTGTAGCTGGATGAGTGGTGGTGGTTTTCTGGAAGTCTGCGTCATGGGGAGGATGTCTATTTGTTGTGCTGATTGAACTTGGTCTTATCGACAACATTAATCACTTTGGCGATAAATTAGGCGTTCAGAAGGAAGTGAACGGACAAGCGCCTGGTTATCAATCGTGGAATTTACACAATAGAATTTAGAGCGCTACAAAAATGTTCCAAACAAATATCTTAGCTTATCGTTGATATCTGGAATTTTACTTGCCATTAATAAGTAGGTAGTGTTTTAGGATGTCGGAAACGAAGACAAAGAATTGCATCGAAGCAATTTCACAACTGACCGGATACATGGGTTCGCTTTGTAACCCGAAGAACTTCCGTATCGCAATCCATCTCTCAGCGGCCTATTGCCTCTCATGGCTCTTTGAAAACTCTCTCTTTCCTTCTGATACCCTTGCCAAAGCACCTGCTTCAACTCTCCAACAAATTCTCGATTACCTAGCCAATCTTGCTCAAGTAAGCCAACTTCAGTTCTCCTTATTGTCAAACTATTTGTCTTTCTAGGAGGTAGAAGAAGTTGAAACACAACTTTTGGTTTTGCAATATCTGCAGGCCATATTTGAGAACCCACACGTAGAGACGCAGTTCAATTGCTTTATCAATACGGTACAGCAACTCTGGAAGATCGGTAGGATCTGATCTTGCTCATTTCCTTCCTTTCGAAGTAAATCAGATAGCGCTCCCGACCAAATGAACTATTATATGTTTCTCCTCCAGGTGAGGGCACAATTTCACTGAGAGCAAGTCTAATCGACCTCATAGCAACGGTCATGCGATCACTGAACGCAGACGTTACTTCAGCGGCAGACATTGCAGCAGCAGCTCAGTTAACTCGCCTTACGGTTTTCTCTGTGCTTTTGCCTGATCTCACGCGTTTTATACGATTTGGATGCGGTGGAGGCGAAGATAACAGCAGCACCGGAGATGTTGAGGTGTTTGGTGATTCCTGTCTCCGACTCTGGCACGCCCTTGTCACTGGGGTCGGGGCTGTCTGGTCGTCGCCTCTAGAATCTCTGATGCCGCTCCTCACTGAAGATAATGGATGTAGCGCTGGGAGTGACCAGCGAACCCTATATGCCAGGCTGGAGACTGCTGAACAAGCACAGGTTGGACCACTGCTAGACATTTACTAAATCAATTTATGGATTTTAAAAGATTTCTATTAGTACGGGTTACTGGGTTCAAAGTTCACTTCATTTACTTGCATTATCTGGGTCACCTCTAATGAAACATGGCATTAAACTTTGCTTGAATGCATATAAAAAAGAAAATCAGATAAAGAATCCTTCAGGTACCGACTCGGTTACAGCCACAAAGTCCTTTTCTATCTCCTAATTTAGCTATTCTTTAGTATCGCCACTGGTTGTCTCCGTCTCGCCGCTTCATCGGAATTTCTTGTTACCTGGACTGAGGTCTTCTGGCGACCTTTGCTTCGTGAGACTATCAATGCTAACGCAATGCGAGCAGACATTGTGGCTGAGCGATTCCTCAACTCCGCCCTTGACGTTCCAGTCGACGAAAAATCTGACCTCTTGTAATTTGATTAATTTTCCTACTTAAGTAATTTAAGTAAATGTTTATATTGCTTTAAAATTAATAGATTGGAGCAACTGCAGCTGCTGGTATCATGGAGCAGTCAGTTGATTCGATACCGTGTTCCCTTTACTCCGAGTATTTGTTGTTTGTTGATACTCCACACTCGCGTCTGCCTTCTTCAAGCTCCTGCGAAGGTACACGACGACTCAGCGTTCAAGAGCAATCAGCTCCGACTACTCTTGTTGGCGCAGTTGGCTGCATCTCATAGTCACTGGTCAGTTGAGAACTTATTGTCACGCAAAGAAGTAATGCGCACACTTATTTTATGCTTCTCACCGATCCTCAACAAGTGCTCTTTCCTCAAGCAATGTGTCGTCAAGTAATGCTTTTGGTAATAGGTTCCTGCAGTGAATTATACCATTGCTGACTTGTGGCATTCAAAGATTTTCGAATTTTATTTCAACCTACTAAGATAAAGGTTTTTCGTGAACTTTAAATATAATGCTATGCTCCTTCAACAATGTTGGTAGCAAGCATATCATTTGTTGTAGGAACTTCTTGTTGACTTTGCTAACCACTGTCGAGGCGGGTGCACTGAGCCCTCGAGATTTAGAGAAGGATTCCCTTCATCTCTCCGCTGGGTACGGTAGTGGCGTTACTGGGGCCACAGCTGGCTGCCAACGTTGCCTCGATGCCTTTCTTATAAGATTATTGGAACGCGCGGACGCGCTTAACAACCGTCTTCATCGACGCTGTTTCGCTCTTGCTTCAATCTATTGCCTGCGTCATTTGACTCCCTGTGATAGGCTTTATGCTGAATACTTGGAACCTGTGATCAGTCTTTGTGTTCAGGTTCGTCTACTCTTACGGTCCCTGTTGTAGGTTTTCGTAATTGCCATTTTTTGCTACAAACAGGTCCTCTACGAACTAGACGACTGTCCTCCCACTGCATTTGACGGAACGGCTTGGAACCCTCCTTCTGCTGTCACTCGTTCACGACTATTGGAGTCATCGCTGCAATATTTCCTCGGTGACATCTCAGCTGTCGCAGAAACTTATGTAGATCCCGCTCTCCTCTCTCAATTTAATCCAAAACGTGGCTGATTTATGATATTAATAATTTTTCCATCGATATTTATTCTCACATTTGTTTTTGTCTGGTTTTCCAGCGTGCTGTTCGGATGTTGGGTGTTGACCGTTGTTAGCGCAAAACGCCATTCTTCCGTAACGGTGTTACCTGCCGTGATGTGTGACAGGCCTGTCATGCTACACCCTAATAGCAAGCGCATGCTTCATGTTCCAACCAGTTGGCATTTCGTTAATTGTGATGGCAGGAAATGCTGGCGCTATTTGCAAGCGTAGAACAGCATGTTGTGGTAAACAAAGTTCGTTGTTAACGTTTAGAGTGCGACACACCCCTTCCAGCGTCGTCTTTATGGCTGCGAACCCAGCAGACGTTTTAGCTTTGTTTACCTTGGCTTTTGACTATGATTTTATGCTTCTCCTGATCGTGTAGGGACTCGTTTTCTTGGCTGATCTTTTGTGTGTGGCATCAACATCAACCAGAGCACAGTTGCTACGCTGGACTATGACCATTCAAGTCGTCGACGCTTCCTCAGCGTTCACGAGCTTTTCTCACGCTGTGGAAGGCAAACATATTGAAATCTCGAGGCTATCCAAGTCTCCTCCGTATGGGAGAGAGGGACTCACTTTCGAATGGGTGCATCTTCTGTTGAATACCAAGGCGGTGGTTTGTTCGTTCGATAACGAACGTAAGGAGTGTGCTCCTTCAACCATATCCTTAGCCTCGTGGTTAACTGTGCTATTGCTCTGCATCGTCCATATTGGTAGGGCTTGTCATGACTAACCTCAAAGCAAGGGTTATGAACCAAATTTGGAGAGCAGTTGAGGTCATGAGCACGATCATCAATTCGTGAAGGTCTAGATCCTAGGTCTCTCAAGTCACTATTCATCTCTCAGGGTCGTAACACACCTCAGCTGAATTACCATTCCACACTGAGGTCTGTCAGCCTCACCAAAGCGTCCGGTTAGCCACGATTTTGTTTACCTTAAGCTGCCAATGTTGTGATGTACACAGGTGGTTGTACTAAGGTGGATGTGTGCGTTTGAGCTTTGCCCATGCTCGAAACAGTGTTGGCATGACCTTCTTTGCCGTGGAATCGCATTTTATTTACTTTGTGCTGCTAGAGTGTTCATCATTACCCTGAATACTGGACTAGTACTAAAGGTTGGTGACTGGTACCGCAAGATAACCGTTATTTGTGGAACGATTTCGCTATACTTGGGAGAAGTGTAATGAAGACGATGCACCGTATCGAGACGGTTCAGTTGCTGCAGTCTGCACATTGGCTGAGTGACGATGCTGCCTCCTTTTTTCGTCACTTACTCCTTTCATTGTTGTTTGTTTGGACCTCAAGGGGACCCAGGGGCTAGGTTTAGGCTCCTAATTCATTCACAAACCATGCAAAAGATCCTGAAACTGTCTGTTGTTGCTACCTGCTCTTCATCGCTTGTAGGGAGAGCTTTGTGTTTTCATCAAGGCTGAACCAATCCTCCTGATTGTTGTTGTTGTTGTTGTTGAAATGAGTCTCCATTAAGTGCCTAAATCTCTAATGACTCACATACAGGGGCTAACAATGTCTGATACTTCAAGCAGACTGGAAAATCGCGGGATTGATGCTGCCGAAATGCGTAGTGGCTGAGAGCTTTCTTGTCTCTCCTCCGAAAGCCACTACCAATTCGTTTAGTACACGAATGTTAAATGGAGGAAACATGTAAAAGTAGTTGTTGAAACAGTGGAATCCAATGCTCAAAAGCATTTTGTTCTTTTAAGAGCAACTGATGGAAGAATCCCAAGGTCGCAATGATCAGCACACATCACGACAAAGTTTGAAATTTGGTAAATCTTCCAGATTAGGGTATAAAGTAGTACTGCAAGAAGTGAAATTGTAGGCAAACTAATCGACGAATAATAGCATCGAAGAATGGGCGGACAGAAGCAAAGCTGCGAGCTTAGAGTATGGAAGAAGTTTTGTGAGGATGAAATATAAGTTCGGAGTGAATGGGTGATGGAAAGGGAGATGCACAAGAAAACTGGATGGTGAATGGATGGCAGATCCGTGGCAGATGTGTACGAGATGTTCTGATACTTGAATCGAGGTTGAAGTAGTCCACAATGGACCAGTGCGGTACTCCAACACTCATTAAACACAACCAGCCTTCCTAGATAATGGAGTTTCATACAAAGACGAACATTTCGTAGTCCTTCGCTCTACTCCCCACTCAAGTCTTATTGCTTTGATCTTGCCTCCAGCATAGCCATTAGGAAGGGATTTGGAGTTGAGAATTGGTTTGGCGAGCACAAGGCATCTCATTGCCTGCCTTCACGCAGTGAAAACCGAGGGATCCCATCTTGTAGTAAATTCATGTTAAAATAATACCAATAATAAGATACATTGGCTCTGAGATACTCTACCCTCAAAATAATTCGACATAAATGGCGATGACGACCGACTACCCAATGGTCTCCTGAGTAGATAGGAGTGATAAACGCGTCATCCTTACTTTTCCTATCAATCCCGGCCGGTACGTGCTGACACAACAGCCAACCCATGCCATTTGTCGCCTGTCAGAAAACCACAGCTGAGAGAACAAGTG